AATCATATTGAAAAGAACTATCATATGAAATATTTTATGTTTCTCAATATATAGTGAAAATTGAATATATTAATGACTCTATGCATAAACTTCTAATGTAGATTTTGATCTTTTGCGTTGTTTTTTCTTCTCTTTTATACATGAATGCCATTAAGAATTTTGAGCATGATGTAAATCCAAGATAGCATAAAAATCAAGTCATTTGTTCCTGGTAAATATCTAGCATTTTTTGCTTAGTTGTTTTTAAAAATTCTGATCTTTATAACAACACATGCTTCGTCTTTTTAGCATTAATGATAGATAGATAAATTAAATTAAAAATGTAATATGAATTGTATTAAAATAAATGATATTTAAATGAAAAAAAATTCAGCAGTTTTCAATTAATTTCATTGAACAAAACATGAATAAAGTTAATATTATTGATATACGCTATACTTAATAGCACTAAATAGATAATATTTAAAAATAAATAGCATAGCAATGGCAGCTGTTTATCCGTAAAAAGGTATTCAATAGAAGCGCAACATGAAAGGTATATAATATAATATTTGTTGGATGATATATTTACACTTAGAATTACAAAAGTGCCAGATTTATGATTAATTAATCTGTTTTTTTTGTAAATCTATTAATCAAAGAACAGATGCATATGCTGTTGAAGTATCATACGATGCAAAAATAATGGCACAAAATGTTGATTTCTTTTTCTTCTGGATAGAAGAGTGCTGAAAGAAAACGTTTTTTTTTAACCAAAAGACAGAGCTTTTCCTCCTCTTTCAAATCATATATAAGTTATTTTCATAAAATGTTTGTAAACGGAACGATACAATAAAAAAGAGAGACACCCTAAAAAAAAATCCGCACTTTTTCTATAATAGAATAACATAAAATGTCGATCATTATATATGTTTCATGCATACACTCTAAAAACAAAATTTTGTTATCAGCTGATAGGAAATTTTTTCCTCTTTCGAACGGTGTATAATTTATATTTGTCATACATTTGTTAGTGAAATGGAATGAAGAAGAAAGAGAAACAATCACGCAATAAATTTACAATGTTTATATCAATTCGTCAAAAACATCTAGCAGACGACAGTTAAGTACGATTAACTGTCGTCTAACAACCTGTTTTTAACGAGTTCATAAAAGCCGAAGTAAGCACTGTTTTACAAAGGCCTTTTAATGAGTACACAAAAGTCGAATTAATTATTGTCTAACAACATGCTTTTGATGGAAAGAGGAGAAAATTTTCTTTTCAGGATATGTTTATTGAAAGGTTATTCAAGATATATAGGAATCAGTATTTTGTGCAGTTTTCTAAATTCCACGAAGAGGATTTTTTTTGAGGATATCTTTCTTTTTTATTGCGTCGTTCCGTTTACAAATGCTTTATGAAAATGACTTATATACGATTTGAAGAGGAGAAAAAACTCTATCTTTTGATAAAAAAAGGTTTTCTTTCAGCAATCTTCGAGGTATGTTCAGATTTTCGAAAAAAGAACTTTTCGGAAATAACAAAATTTCTATGATACAATTTCAAGACCTTCATGCGCAAAAACAGAAACTTCCTAGAAATTTTCGTAATCACCAATAGAATGATAGAGGAAATTCAGCGAAATTTCCGAATTTCAAAACACCTGCGAATAAATATACCTAGAAATTTCGAAAATTATCCTCACGCCAGGAAGAAATTTCCCGGAAACTTCGATTATTACTCATAGTAAAGAAGGAAATAAACAGATAATTTCGGTGAATACCAACTACAGATAAGGAAATTTGGGTGTGGGTGTGGGTGTATGTCACTTCTCTCTCTATCGACACCCTCTTTTACAAATCGATAGAAGACAACTCACAGTATCTACAGCGATAAAAGTCCAAAAACTGAAAAAATTTGGATCTTCTCGTTCTGAAAGGAGGTGATGTCGTCTTAAGCAATTCTAAACATCCTACCTGACACCATCGTTTCATTATCTGAAGCAGAGAAATAAGTGATAACATCTAAACATAAGATCTAGAGCTTTTTCATTCGAGAACATTTTATTTATTCCAAAAACAGAAAATTATCTTTAGAACAGTACAATCAGTTAGCTATATATAAATGAAGCCAATGGTGGCAAGAAAGTTCTACACTCTAGTGAATGGAAATACAATAATTCACAGAACATTTCAAGACAATCGATGTAGATTGATACTTTCCTCTGTCGCTATAGCGATTGTATCGTCGTTGAATTGAACAGCATCACAAAAGGACGAATTGTAATAGTATTTTTTGAGGAAGCTTCCATTTTTAGATATGTGTAGAAGTTCAGAATCATTTGGATCAATTATCATCCATTCATCGTTGGTCAACAAACAGCATGACATTGTGTAATCTCCACAAGTTAAATCAAGCTTAAGTGACCAGTATCGCTCAAGTGTTATTAGTGAGCATAGATCGAGACGCATACCATCCTTATCATTATTGATAATCAGAGCCAATGCAGCATGATTCGATGCGAGATCCTCAATCGATCCATGTTCGGCGCAAGAAAGAGGTGATACGTGTTCTAGAACAAAATGAATGGGCAATTGAATATCATATTCGAAGATAGAGGATCCTTTATCGAACGTCGATAGAAACAATTTATGATCTGAACACGTTCCACATGACCAAGTGTTAATATGCCTGTGTTGATCAAGTGTAAGTGGTTCGAGAGTCATCGTGTTTGACTCGAGAGTAAAGGTCCCTGTTGAAGTGATGAGAATGAATCGAGCGAGAGCATTCGACCAAATAATATCATGAAGATCGTCTTGAGCCCATATGATCTCTTTCTCAACGATCAATTCTCGATTGAATAGCCGAAGACTTTTGTTTTGTATAACCAAAAGATTATTGTCCTTGGCGGCTATAGCAATGGTTGTGTCTGTTCCTTCCGACATTTTATATGGAGGCGGTAGTGGAAAACCATCTTCTGTTTGCGATATTTTATTTCGAGTGTTGATAAGATTATCATCGATGACCAGAGGCGAAAGGGTGAATAGTTGACTTTCAGGTAAGTTGATTAGCTTTTCGACAGATCGCAGAGATTTTTGGATTGAATTGATATGTTCATGCGTCACGTCTTGTTCGCGAATCAGTTCACTAATTTGATATCGCAATAGATTGAGTTCTTTTTTCTGAATTGTTCTTAATTTGTTAAGTAATTCGTCGAATTCTTGTTTTTTTCTTTCATAGAACTGATCGATCAGTCGATGGGCTTGTTGACGCCACTGTTCAAGTTCTTCGAAAATAGTGGGTTCAACTAACGTGACACTGTTGAATTGTTCAGACAGAGTATTGATTTCATCAGCAAGTGACGTGAGTTGGGTCAGAAGTGAGTCAGAGTGTTCATTCAGATGGACGATACAGAGATTTTGTTGGCAACAATGACAAAGAGCGCGAGAAAATCGTTTACAACAGTTAATCGAGCAACTTTGTGGCGATTCCATATCGGATAATATTGAATGCGGAACTCTAATGTGTTTATGATAAGAAGAAAAGTATGATCATTCTATATAGTTTATCATTCTTTGTTATCATGAGCATAATGCAAATAAAACCACAAAGACGAAAAAGTCATGCTATGTTGACCTCAATAATACTTTTGTCTGTATGGACGATAGACCTATAGAAGGACCGATAACTACGATCGGCAGTCTATTTTTAACCTTTATCGTTTGTTGTTCTTCAATGCGATACGAACGATTGTTTCTTTATCAACACCGATCAACGTTTTCACACAATTGAATAATCAACAATGACAATCCATGTCATGATTCATATTCTCATTATTGATTATGTTCACATCTGAGACAAAGATGAGATCTCGATCATGTAATCAGATACTCTGGTTCTTGTAAGAATTCAAAAAAGCATAACATATTGTTATTGGGATATGCTATCCAGCAGACCCTCCTCACGATGTCTAATAGTTATTTTCGTTAACTACTTTTCATTCTCTAGTATTTTTCTCTTTGCCATCATCTAAATCGACTTTTATTTGACGACAGAACACTCAGCTCAAGAATCATATGAAAAAACATATCTTATCTTCTGACGATATTGAAACTAGATTTTACTTCATTTTCTTTTCTAAAGATTGAGAGCCAATTTTGATATAGTTATTTTCGTAACAAACTTAAATGCTCTTCTAATTCCAACAGATCTCGGTCTCACTTTAATGCTCAACACTTTGCAACATCTCCACGAGCGACCAATCTGATATTTAGTTTACAATCAGTCAGTGCTATATACTAAAGATGAGCTCGGTTCGATGAAGCAACCATGGCGTTTCCTCGTTCACTCGTTCTACACATAGATTGTTCTTTGTTTTTTACTTAGAAAATGCTTCTCGTAATCTCTTCGATATCCGTGATGATGACATGTATTATCAATAATCGAACGAAGTTCATATCGATATATCGAATCTGTTTTACATAATCGATAGGTTCTCGTCGTCGAAAACTAAATTGTGAAATTAAGTCAAATGAATGGTCTCAAAATGGATCGAATGATTTCAGCCGAGGGTCAAACGAGTCGTAGCGATGAGCATTACTCGTGTTCAATACGGACTAATTTCCAACGAGCTTTGCTACTAGTGTTATTTCTTTCTTTTTTTGGGCCAAAATGCTCGTGAAGACACAGAACGTGCTAGAACGGATTTTTGGATGTGGGTGTGGGTATTTCGATAGAAATGATCCACACCCGTATCGACACCCACAGCCCACCCTTTGGAATTATAAGCGCTTTTTTTAGTCAGATCAAATCACTAACAAATGAAATTGTTCATACAACTTAATTTATTTTAGTCATAATTGATATCCAAAAATGATCACATCTTACTCAGGGTGTGGGTATGGACGAATACAATAGTTACACCCACACTCACACTCACACTCTCTATCTAAACGATAAGTGTGTATAAGTTTTCGAAATCTATTTTACTAAGACTGATTGAACATATGATATGGTGACTTTACTTTTGTTTACGTTTTTCAATCATTCTCTCTTTTGTTTTCCATTTTTCTTGCATTTCATTAAGACTTGTTTCCCATGCAGCTTCTAATTCTTTTCGACGATTTTCTTGTTGTAATAATATAATAAAAGCTATTTTTTGTTCTTTTATATCTTTATCACCAGTTTTTTTTTTGGCTTTTAAATATAGTGAATATTGACGTTCTTCTTCTGTCCGTTGTGTTTTCATTTCAATAGTTGTTTTACGTGCTTTGATTAATTCTTCTCTCTATTGACGAACTTGATTAACCTGAAAGTCAGCAAAGATTCATAGAATACATTACTTAGCTAAACTAGAATTATTTTTTTGTTTGATTTTTACTCGATGAGTTAATTTATGCATTTTTCGTGTCTTCTCATCTAGTAAAGTTTGACGTCTTGTAAATGCTTGTACTAAATAAGCAATAACTATTTTAAAAAAAGCAGTTGTTTTTCGATACCTTGATGCTCAGTTGCTTCATGAAGAGTTTCACTGAGAGGTTTAAATAATACACTATTATTTGATGAATGCTATGAAATAGCAATCTATAGATCAATACCGAATACGTGAAGGTGATAACAGTTTTTCATGTATACGAAGATGTTTTGTTCGAGATTTTTCATCCGATTCTGAATCATTATCACCACGTGATAAATCATTGGGTCTTATATCTTTTTCATCACCATCATCTTGTAATGACATAAAATAACTTGAAGTTTTGGTTCTCTAGATATAAAAAAAAGTAGATTGTTGTTTAAAATGAAAATCTTTTTAATTTAAATTACTGATAATTCACTTTCTTCTAATTCTGATCCATCATCACTAACATTATTTAATTGATGTTCGAGATATTCCTGTTCAGCAATTGATGAAGCAATTGTTCGTTATTGTTCAGCTGGTAATGCTTCAGCTAATGATTCTTCTTAATAAAATGCGTCAAATATTTGCTAGAACAAAAAAAAAACAAATACTAACTAATGATCAGATCCATATTTAAGAAAATTATTTTGAATACTTAATTTCATTGAAACTTATTTGATTCATAAAATTCATCATTCCACGATGATTTCTCAATAGAAGTTCTTCATCATCATCTTCTGATGTTAAATTTTGTTGTTTAAAACGATAATGTAATGTTGTTGATAATTAATGATGATATCCATGATGTCGATTAGTATGAATTGATTTATCTCGAATATCTTTTTTTTATCATCAGCATCACCAACTGTTTCTTCAGATAAAATTCGTTTTGATGATTATAATAGTAATTGATGTGTACTTCCAATTAATGTTGTTGATTGAAAATAATGGTGCGAAAGAGGGTGTGGATGTGGGTGTGGGTGGGTGTGTGGGGGGGGGTGTGGGTGTGGGTGTGGGTGTGGGGGTG